ATATTAAAATAAAATATATGAATGGAATTTAGAGTTGAAATTACATACTCAACTACATGCAAAATTCACACTTTGTGGCAATGAGAAATAAGTCATTAATGGAAGTAAAAATAATTACAACCAAGTCAAGTACTTCTGGGTCCTCCTAGAGGAAAAGAAAAGGAATGGAGCCTTCTTGCCCTTAACCTATTCTTACTCTCCTAACCTAGGTTTGGTGAAGAAAGGGAGATGATGCCCTCCCTAACTGAAATTCAAGTTCACCATATCCTAATTTCTACTAAACTGTTAAGTATGCAGGACGGAGAATGATTGACTTAAGGAGAAAGATTATAGAAGACAAAGAAAACACACCTGTTGGGGGAAAAATGGGGACTATTTTCATAAAATTCTATTATTTAATCTTTCCTCTTTTTTTTTTTTTTTTTTTTGAGTTGGAGTCTCTGTTGCCCAGACTGAAATACAGTGGCATGCTCATGGCCACTGCAGCCTCAACCTGCTGAGCACCTTAGCCTTCCAAGTAGCTGGAACTACAGGCACACACCACCACACCTAGCTAATTTTTTGATTTATTGCAGAGACAAGGTCTCACCAAGTTGCCCAGGCTGGTCTGGAACCCGTGGACTCAGACAATCCTCTCACCACGGACTCCCAAAGTGCTGAGATCATAGGTGTGAGCCACAGCACCAGGCCTATAAGTATGTTTTAAATATGTTAGAACACGCAGGGCTCAGTGGCTCAGCCTGTAATCCCGTGCCTTTGGGAGGCTGAGGTGAGTGGATTGCCTGAGCCCGCGGGTTCGAGACCCGCCTGGGCAGCAAGACCTCATCTCTACAATAAATCAAAAAATCAGCCAGGCGTGGTAGCACATGCCTGTAATTCCGGCTACTAGGAAGGTTGAGGTGGAAGGATCGCCAGAGCCCAGCAGGTTGAGGCTGCGGTAGCCGGGAGCAGCCACTGCACTCCAGGTGGGCAACAGAGTGAGGCTCCAACTCAAAATAAATAAATAAATAAATGTTAGAACACTTATCAGATGTAAACCCTGCATTAGCTTCAGAACTCACAACTACACAGAATGTTGGCTATTTGTGATGCTTAATGTAGCAATGGTTCTAAACTATTTGCTGTCCTTCCAACCAGCTAACTAACTTTTGTATGGCTTTTAAATTTGTTAATTAATATTAATTATATTATCTAAGTGACAGAAAGTAATCACAGTTTTAAGCTTCATGTGACTAGAGGTGTTCACAACCTCTCAGAGGGTCAGTTTCTTCATGCGAAAAATTAGAAAACCAAATAACCTCTAACCCACGTGTTGGCTCCAAAATTCTAAGTACTATATCTATGTTATCATCTCTAAGATACAAAACTCAGAAAAACTTAGCTGCAATTCAAAACTTTTTCAAATTATCCTTTCAAAAATAAAGGTATTTCTCGATTCCAACAGTAACACAAAGTATTCATTAATTCACTTAATGAAAATATGTTGAGCAAGACACAAGTAAACCGAACTAGGTATTTGGGAAAAAAAAAAAAGAAAAAAGAAAATATGTTGAGCACACAACTACATACCAGCCATTAAGCTGGGCACTGAGAGGACACAAAAGTGAACAAAAGCAGACGTAGTACTTGTATTCATGAAGCTTACAGAGAGGTTGGGGAGACAAACCAAATAAACAGATGGATAAATGTAATATCACAACTATAATGAGAGATACAAAGGTGTCAAAAGAGTACATAAAGTGGAATCTATAACAAATGAATGACAAGCATACGGGTGACATAACGTGAGGAATCTATTTAGGCAAAAAAAACGCAGCACGTTCAGGGAACCAACAGAAGACCAAGGTAGCCTGACAGCAAAAATGGGTAAAGTGGTTCCCTGGACACAGAAATGAAAACTTATAGTATACAAGTGTATATCTCAGCTCTTACAAAAGCATACTCTAAGAATTATCTTCAAAGAAGCGTCAAAGTCTCACAATAGTTTCTCTCCAATGTTAAAGAAAATGCTGTCCTTTATCGCCCTAAAAAAAAAAAGCCAGGCTCGGTGGCTCAGCCTGTAATCCCGCGCCTTTGGGAGGCTGAGGTGAGTGGATTGCCCTGGCAGGCGAGATCTCATCTCTACAATAAATCAAAAAAATTAGCCGGGAATGGTAGTGTGCGCCTGTAATTCCGGCTACTCTGAAGGCTGAGGCGGAAGGATCACTGGAGCCCAGCAGGTCGAGGCTGCAGTGGCTGCAGTCTGGGCGACAGAGTGAGACTCCAACTCAAACCACAATGTTAGTTTGTTAGATCTCTAAGAAGGAAGCAGCTATATAAAAACCAAAATAAATATGATGCTATTGCTCTGTCTCTGCCACTAATCTGTCCTGTGACTGATCCTGGTAAATGTTACTTGACTTTTGTTATCTGTAAAGTAAGATGAGGTTCCAGAACTTCTTTTCAGATCCTTCTAACTCTAAAATTATGGTTCCTCTGTAAAAATACTTGTTTCATTCTTGAAGACTAAGGAAAATGGGACCAAACATCTCTAAATTACTTTGTCGAAGACTATACTTACTTGCCTTTACAATCTCTTTCTGTTTGCAGTGTTTGAACACTGTTGCTATGCTCTAACACCTACTGAATTTATAAAATTTATGCACAAGTGAAATGCTAATGAAAAATTAACAAAACTTCAAAACCACTTAAATACTGCTTTTCAAAATCTACATTTGCAAAGGGACATAACATAGTATTTTAACTAAACAGAGATCCCTAAAAAGTACAAAGTAAAAACAGACAGGAAGGCAGGAGGACCATCAAAGCAGGAGGCAACATAGCAAGACCGCCTCTCTACAAAAATAAAAATAAATCAGATGGACGTGGTATGCACTCCTATAGTCCCAGCTACTTGGGAGGCTGAAGTGGGAGGACAGCTTGAGTCCCAGTCTGAGGCTACATGAGCCATGATACTGCCTCTGCATTCTAGACTTGGCAAAAGACCCTGACTAAAAGTAAATCAATCAATAAAAAATATATACAAAAGGAAAAAACTCAGTATAACTTTAAGATGAATCAAGTCAACACCTCAATTCCTGTGTAACCTTTAGTATCAAGATTTGCTTTAAGGAAAGGAACTGTGTCTTATTCCTTCCAAAAAGGCAACAAATTGCAGAATCTAATTAGATTCTGAAAATCAAACCACAGGAATACTTTGAGTACTATTAAAACGAAACATTGTACACATTTACTAGGCACTACATTAAGCTCTAAGAGAAAACCAGCAAGATCGTTCCCTAAAGATACACTTCACAAAGTTGCCTAAAGGGAGAAACATTGTCAACATTGTTTCTTCCATAAACTCCCACCAAGTCTGGGTAATTCTAACTCTGAAAATCTCTTCAATCAACCCCCATTCTTTTACCATTGCTATAGCCCAACTCAAAGATTTTAACACCTTTTACCTAGACTGTGAACAATTTCCTAACTGGACTTATCACTGTCTTTCCCTATTACAATCTAGCCCCAATTGTGACAACCGTTTTTAACATGTCCAGCTAGTGCAGTAGTTCACGCCTATAATTCCAGCACTTTGAGAGGCTGTGGTGAGAGGACTGCCTGAGCTCACAGGTTCAAGACCAGCCTGGGCAATTTGAGAGACCTCTCTCTACAATACATCTAAAATTAAGCCAGGTATGGTGGCACGAGGCTATAGTTTCAGCTACTTGGGAGGCTGAAGCAGAAGGAATGCCAGAACCCAGCAGGTTGAGGCTGTGGTGGCTGCGAGTGTCCGTCCACCTTGGACAACAGAGTAAGAATCTGACTCAAAACAACAACAACAAAAAAACATGTCCAGACATCACCTGGAGGTCAAAGTTGCTCTGATTGAGAACCACTGCTTCAAGCTGATCCTATTACAAGAATGGCATATATTTGGTAAAGCTCTGGCCACAATCTTTGTCATGGAATATAAAGTACAAAACTGACCAACATAAACCTGAAACTCACACCTTAGAGCCACCATGCTTCAACTAAATTAAAAGAGCTGAGCCAGGCTCGGTGGCTCAGCCTGTAATCCCAGCACTTTGGGAGGTAAGTGGATTGCCTGAGCCCGCGGGTTCGAGACCCGCCTGGGCAGGCGAGACCTCATCTCTACAATAAATCAAAAAATTAGCCGGGCGTGGTAGCGTGCACCTGTAGTTCCAGCTACTTGGAAGGCTGAGCGGAAGGATTGCCGGAGCCCAGCAGGTCGAGGCTGCGGTGGCCAGGAGTGGCCACTGCACTCCAGTCTGGGCGACAGAGTGAGACTCCAACTCAAAAAAAAAAACAAAACAAAAACAGAAACAAAAAGAGCCATAATACTCTCTTGGGTTCTTTTGAACATATGGGCATCAATTATTTTACTTCAAGCCTGAATTCTGCAAAGTCAGGACCTTCTGTCAAAATTTAACCAAACTATACACATACTTAAGCTTCTGGATACCAGAAAACCTTGACTTTTTTAAAGCTAATCAAATTTAGCAATATAGGACTGTATACCAACTTTCAGGTCACTAATGTCAATAAGTTCTGATAACCCACTACCACCGGACCAGTCAGTGATAATTTTTAAAATGACTTGTGCTCAAATCAGTCCATGCAGAAACTTTGAAAACAGAAGCCTTCCTAGGCAAACTACTCCCCACTTTTAAGTGTACGTTAAGCTACTTTGAACAGTATTCTCGTTGAACAAAATATTTCCAAGGGGAAAAAAAACTTTATATATAAACACACGAATTCTGACGCCTGAAAAACAGTGAAGTTTTGTTTTGTTTTTCTTAATTTCCCATAAAGGCTCTGTACCTACACAGCACTAACCGAAACAGAACAATGCCCTTCGAGGGAGTAAGGGAGAAGACGGTAAGACACCTAAGAAACTTGGAAGGAAGAGACAGACAGCTCTCAGGGCAGCAATGTCGCCGCAGACAGCGCCTCCCACCGAAGCGTCGCCAGTGCCAGCTGCGTGTCCCGGCGCTCACCTTGAGCCGCTTGATCATTTCGTCCGTGGTGATCTTGTCGGTGATCTCCTTCACCCCCGGCGGGTAGGCGATCTTCCCGTCGGCGCTCACGACGCCACAGAGGGCAGCGGCAGGCTTGGGCTGCGCGGCGAAGTCCATCCTGGGGGACAACTTTTCTCTCTCGGTCCTCTACCGGCCTCTATCGGTCAGAAAACCAAAGTTCAGCAGGAAAGGAGCGACTTTGTAACCTCTTTTTTCATCTCAAATCTCTCCGACCTCGAAAGGGCCCTCTCCCCCGGGAGGCCAGGAGCCCGGCCGCGGTCCCGACACCCGCCCGACCCCGCGGCCCGG